GGTAAGCAAAATAGCAATTTTTTTTTTTTTTACAAGAAACAAGTGTAACTCGCGAATCGCGTTTCCAAAGGACATACAGACACAGGAGACAGCCCTGAACTTTTTAACGGATCGATAATGGCTAGTGTCCAGTCCACGAGGGAAATCAATATGTTGCTCCTGTGGCTTCGAAACGATAGTTCGCCTCGTCGAATTAGTGCAGCGCATAGATTAACGAAAATGATACAAGAAAAAAACTTCCGCTTCCTTCGTTTCTATCCATCCACCTTCTCGAAATCTACGAGCGAAAATTTTAATTCGTCTAATTCGTTCGACAAGGTTTTGATAAAAGTCGATAAAAATTCCGATTCATTTCTGGAAATATCGGAAATAAATGTGTTCGAAAATTCGAATTTCAACACGATACTTCTTTTTACATGTATATATATGTATAATACGCGAAGTGGACACGTGAGAGGAACACAATCACCTGCTACCACGCTTTTTCGATCGCGTCGAAGAGATTAGTATATATCGGCGATCCTCGTAAAAATATTACGCTTGGCCTGTTACCAGATGGCGGCCAGATGCTTTCTCGGGAGAAGGGAGATATGGGATGGGGAAGGGATACTCGTGCACCCAATTTCTCGATTCTGACAATTTCCCCCGAACAAGAAACTTCGCGCCAAGTTTACGAAAATTAATAGGTTATTTGGGATGTGCGTTTACATTACCCCCTGTCCCATATCTGTGACATATCAGGACTTGTCGAGAAATCGCGACAAAGTATTCGCCTGATTTGTTGTGATTGAGATTGGTGAATATTTAAGTAGTATCGTTGAACCATCCTTAATGTAATATAACTGTGAGAAAATACCATCAGACTTTTTTTTATGAATTTTTTTACGCGACTAAAATGTAAATTTTTTTTTTTTTTTTGACAAATCGTTACCGTTCGCTATTTTAAAATTCTCGATCTACTTGTCATGCTTGAAAAAACGATTTTTCAAATTCCTTCCATTTTTTTTTTTTTTTCTCTTTTATATCCTCGATCACAAAATATATCAAAGTCACGAATAAACGAGTCGTTGCATTCCAGACCTTGGACGACTGAATAAATTCACGAAATCCCCTCCTCCCCTTATCTGCTCCTCGGTGATCATTTTTTTTCCCTCTTCTTCTTTTTTCCCCCCTACTCCACCTATTTTCTATTCCAATTTATCTTGCCGGCGCATCTTCGCCGCGGTCCGTGCATTATGGATGGCTCGCGTGTCCTCAACCCCGCTTTTTTCCACCCTTCGTGTTTTTTCTTCGCTCCGCTACTCCCCTCCTCCGTTACCCCCCCTCGATTACCTTCCGAAAAATTAATAAAAAAAATCGAAGCTACCAAAATCTGGATCCAGCCGATCTGTGAAAAAATAAATGATCCTCCAAGGAATTTATAATACCCCTCGATTTGAAAAAAAAAACTTCGTATCGTATCGACTCGTTCGTGTGTTGCAATTCAATTCAGCAAATGGAGGGGGAGGGAAATTACGATGAATTATTTATCGTACAACGCGTCTAATTATTAAAATAAGCGGAGACGCGGCCGATTAATCGCCGATAAACGAGTAAAAGTAATTTCTACCGTAAACGTGTATTAATTTCCAACGGGATGGCATCATCGATCGAAGAAAAAGCTTGCCGTTTTTTTCACGGACGATAATTTTCGCGATCGATGAAAGAAGAAACGAACGAACGTGGCAAACGAATTTTGCCCAACTCGTTCGATTGAAAAAATTGTCTGGTGGTGTCTCTTTCGATTACCGAAAAGGGGAGGGGAGGAGGGAGAGAAAAGGAGTAAAAGGAGGGGGAAAAGGCGGTTCGCGGGTCACACCAGCAGCGTCCTTTCGTGACGCGTGTGTCTGAGCGAGCAGCCTCGATTTCCGACGCAAAGTGGCCGCGTGCACCGCGATTAGGATCTCCGCGCCAAGTGGCGCGTGGACGAACTTGCTTGATAGCCGCCCTTCTAATTCCCTGCGTACACGCCTCCCGAACGAGTTGCACATGCGGGCGCACGCTCGAACCAAGGATCACCGAATTTTCGATGCTTATCTCGAGACAAGCATTAGAATAAAAATTTGAATAAGTGATTGAACAATTGAATAAAAAATTGAAAAATAGAAGAATTGAATAAATAGTGATTAGTTATTGAAAATTTGTTTTTAGGTTAGAAAGTTGGAGGAGGGTGAGGGGAAATTTTGTAGAGAGAGATTGAAATAGAAGGTTGGATATTAATAGGGAAAGATTTAATTTCGAGTTTCTTTCATTTTCGGTTTAATTTATGTAGAAGAGATTAGATATACGTGTGGAAGATACATCGAAGGTTGGAAAATTTTTGAAGTCGCATGAATCCATGTTTTTACACGTTTCGATTTAATCGGTATAGTTCGAAGGAGAAATTGAAGATTTTTATGATTTATATTCGTTGGAGGGTTGCAGCTTGAAAAATTTCTGAAAAACCACCGTAATTTGAAGTAGAAATTAGAATTTGCCATAATTCATATACATTGGAGGGCTGCACGTGGAAAACGTAATTCGAAAAAGAAATTGAAAATTTATATTCGTACTATAATTTATATTCGTTGAAAGCTTGCAACATGGAAAATTTTTAAAAATAATCGTGATTCAAAAAAGAAATTGAAAATTACTATAATTTATATTCGTTGCAACGTGGAAAACGTAATTCGAAGAAGAAATCGAAAATTGCCACGATTCATATTCTTTTGAAGCTTGCAAATATGTTAAAAGCCCCCTATGATTCTAAGAAAAAAATT